AAGTTAGTTTAATTTCAAAAGATAGATGAAAATAAAAATTGTATTAAGTCATTGTGATTATTTTAATGAATAAAATCTTTCTTTTGGTCTCCGATAATTCTTCAATGGCGAGATATTCGAATCTCACCATTTTTTTTCCGCGTTCCGTTTCTTTAGTAAGTCACTGTATATATATACCATTCGTTTTGTTTACTGGCGATCGAGATAACACGGCTGATTAATTTTTGTTAACTCCGAAAAAAAACAGTGATCCGATTTGAACAAAAATATTACCATTTGATTCATCTCGACTGGACGAATCGAATGGTTGTATGTTTGTTCAAATCGGATCACTGAATGTCAAGAATTAGATTATTTGGACGTGAACATACAACACCCGATATAGAAGCTTTACCAATCTATAAAAGGTATCAACGATCAGCATTTGTGATGTTCTTTGTGCTCGGAAAATTTTGGTACATTACACATGATCTACGGAAAGTTATACAGAAATTTTCGAATAACAATGAATTTCGAAAATTTGAAATATGCGTATTTTTTTAAAATTTGTTTATTATAAAGATTTATGTATTGATTATTCCCGTTTTTTTCAATTATCAATTATTATTCTAAATGCGTCAATAGCACAATGCTTGAAAGTTTGTACAATATAAGGAAATGATTCCTACGTATAAAATTTTATCTAAACTATAATAAATAAAAATTTATCTAACTAAAAAATTCAACCGGAAACGAACTAATAATTAAATTGTCGTTTCGAATGAAAATTAAATAAAGCATATTGCTTTATTTAATTGGTGCAAATCCAACGGCAAGATTTTTAATATCGTAAGCACTATACACGTTCTTGAGGAAAGTATCGCCGACTAACCATTGGTCAGCTCCACCGATATTACCGCCAGCAATACCAGAAAGACACATATCATTTTGATCTGTTTTTTCACGAGCAAGATCTTTTGGTGAGATTTTATAGGTAACTCCACCGAAATTGAGAGCAACGATGGCGTCGGTTTTGCATGGGACAAAGTATTCACCTTGTTGAGAAACTGCACCTTTAATTGCTTTGTGAATAGCATCGGCATCAGCAGGAGGGGCGATGAGAAGAGTCGTGCCAGTATCAATAATGGCAGTTTTTTTGCTGAATCCAAGAGGCTTTCCGTTAACACTAGCGTCATCTAAAGCGATTTCCCAAAAACCAACATCACTCACAAGTTTATTATACTTAAGTTGGCCAGTGAATTTTGAAGAGTCAACACCACCAAGAGTTAATTGACTTTGATCGTTGCTACCATCTGCTTGACGTCCGAGGAAGAAACCAAAAACTGTATCTTTGACAGCATTTTGTTCAACAAGCTGAGTGAAAGGTGTTTTTGCGTTTTGTGAGCTTAATTGATCAAGACCCATTCCAAGTATTCCATCGAATTCTGCATTTTCAAAATCTTCAGACATTTTTGTTGATAGTCCGAAAGTTTGACCTTTTGCTGTTGCACCAGCAATTGAAACGTCATCTGTTGCAATAACTCCAGAAACTGCACCTGTACCATATTTAATTTCAAATGGTTTATTATCGCTTTTGAATCCTTTGCTTTTTTTTGGATCGAATGTTTTATGAGCTTTACAAGCTGCATCAGTACATTGTTGTGCAGGTACCCAAAGATCAGATGAACCAGTATCGAAAATTACATTAAACGTTTGGCCAGCAATTTGAATCGGACCGTGATAGCCAATATCCATTCCTTGATCTTTAAGAGGATTGTTGACAACCCCTTTGCCGGAATTGTCAGGTTGACCATTTTGAGTGGAATTTTTACCATCCTTGCCGCCATTCTTGCTACTGTCGCCAGTGCTGTCGCCAGTGCTGTCGCCAGTGCTGTCGCCAGTGCTGTCACCAGTGCTGTCGCCAGTGCTGTCGCCAGTGCTGTCACCAGTACTGTCACCAGTGCTGTCGCCAGTGCTGTCACCAGTACTGTCGCCAGTGCTGTCGCCAGTGCTGTCACCATTGCTGTCGCCATTGCTATCGCCAGTGCTGTCGCTATTGTTATCGCCAGTGCTGTCGCCATTGCTATCGCCATTTTCGTCACCAAATGGGTCGTCACCAAATGGATCATTGCTGAATGGCTCATCGCTTCCAGTATCGCTGGTGCTATTAGTCTTTTCTTTAAAGCTATTAATTATGAAAGATTTCGGTGCGGAATCACCAAATACTGGAGCGGAAGCAGCTTCTAATTTTACGACAGCTTCTTGACCAACTAAACCACGGCTGTATGCTGATTGGATATTTTTCGCATATTTCAATAATGCACGATTTTTATCAACCTTTGCCTTTTGGAGCCAAGTATAATAAGCGGGTAAATTATTTTTCTTTATGTCAACTTTGATTACGGATGATTTCGAGGTGGGTGCTGCATCGGCGGTTAACGAGATAGCTGCCATCAAGAGAGCTAACGCTGTAAAAATCTTCATTTTTATATACTATTTTTTTAGTAAAAAAGGATTAATGCGTAATTCGGGTGAGTATATTAAAAATTTTGTTTAGGAGTGCGCGAAAAAAGATTATATTTTTTAAGGTTTTAAAACGAAAGTTTATTTTTTTTAAAATAAGAATACAGAAACCAGTCTGTATCTTAAAAAGAATAATGTATAGAAGGAAGGAAGAAATGAAGGTTTGGTAAACTGCTCTTGTTTGAATTTGCTACGAAAATCAAATTGAACGAAGAGACGCGACTCTTTTATACATTTGAACCATTATTTCTGTGAATGTTGATCTTTCACGTTCTAGTATGCATGCATTCGGCCATTTGAAACTGGGCTGATAACGCACAATACATGTAGCATATACGTACGTATCGATATTACATGTATTTCTTTGTTGAACAAAATGCGATTTCTTAACTCGCAACTATCGGTATAACAACGACAATATCCATACGTATATCGATATACATGTATTATTTAGCATATATGGTTTTGTAACATGCACGGGATTTAACATGCACAAGATACACGAGTTAGATTATGATAGGCGATATTGGATCTTATTGTTCTTAAAGAGTTATTCCTATAATATCCGAGATCAAAAGAAAACGTGTCATCTTTATTATTCCCCAAATATTATCGATATTTTTTCTGGTTTTTTATTATTGGATATCACTGGACCCACTGCAATGAAATTAATAAAAAAAATGAGTAAGTACTTATGCTTATCATAAAGCATATGAAATTTTGCCCGGTCCCTGTTTGATGAATTAGCCGAGAAGAGATCACAATCAGAGAAATAACCAGTTAAGGATTTGAAATACAGTGGCTCACACATGTAACAGAACACGAAAATTAACTTACGTACTAGGATTTTTATTTCCATGACTATTAGTTCGAACAAAA